ACACACACATATGCTGGAAAGAACCCTAACTCCAGCCCACAGCTGCAGCCCACCCTTCCCCACCCCCCCACAGATTTGGGGGCACATGCGCCCCTCCATGCCTTCCCAAGGTGTGCATAGCAGCAGAAGCCACCCCCACCCTGGCTGGACAGCACCTGCCCCAGCCCCAGCCGCAGGCCCACTCCCTCCCTCACTACAGGGGCCTTAATATGCTCCCCCACACTCCTTCCCTCCCACCTTCCTGTTCACCAGAAAAGACATACCAGTTGCACGCAGCTGTATTGGAAATCAGATTGGTATTGGCCGATACGCCTCCTTAAATCGGCTATCAGTATCGGCCCCCAAAAACCTCTAGCGGTGCACCCCTACATTTAATAGAAGTATTTTTATGAAATATCCAGTACATAGCAGGACTTCATGAGGGATGTGGACAACATGGAGCAGGTCCAGAGGAGGGCCACTTGCATGATCAGGGGGCAGCAGGGCAGGCCCTACAAGGAGAAGCTCAGGGACCTGAACCTGTTCAGCCTCCACAAGAGAAGGCTGAGGGGGTATCTCGTGACCATTTACAAACTGGTCGGGGGGGACCAGCAGGCATTGGGGGAGTCCCTGTTCCCCTGAGCTCTACCAGGAGTGACTAGAAATAACGGTCAGAAGCTGGCAGAGGGTAGATTCAGACTAGATATCAGGAGGTGCTACTTCACTGTCAGGGCGGCTAGGATCTGGAACCAACTTCCAAGAGAAGTGGTGCTGGCTCCTACCCTGGGGATATTTAAGAGGAGGCTAGATGTACACCTTGCCAGGGTAATATGACCCCAGTACTCTTTCCTGCCATGGCAGGGGGTTGGACTTGATGATCTGCTCAGGTCCCTTCTGACCCTACCAACTATGAAACTATGAAACTTGTTCTACTTGGTGGGAATTTTTGCAATCCCTATGAAGAAGGGAGCCTTATTTGTCATTTATTGTTTCTGTCTCTCACTTTAACCAAGAAATATGTTTGAAAATATTTTAGTGCAGTGTCTGCTCTTTATCTTCTGTGTGTGAATAGCTCCAGTCATGCTTGTTTATGCTTGTCCTCTGTTTATCTTTCAATTTTCTGTACAAACTTTTTCTATTTGAAAAACTTAGTAATTTACAGGTCTGAATCACTACTCAAAAACTATGGTACTGCCTTGGTTTTTTAGAGCTATCTGCCCACAGTTTCTTCTATAATCATTTCTGCTTCAAAAACATCAATTTAAGGACACAATAATCAGAATCCTACCTGCTTATGGTATTCTTAACCTAAATATCCTTGTGTGTTGTTGCTGTATAAATGACTGATTTAGGTTTTCCTTACTTAAGGACCTTATTCTTAACCTAAAATAGAACTACTCATTTTAAATTCTTCATCTGGCCCCACTCCTAAGTTTTTGTATACTCGTCTGTAGATCCTGTATTCTCTTATTCTGAAACCAGTGTCACCTCATATATCTTATGTCTGTAGTGCCTGAGGAGGAAGTTTCAACTTCTTCTCCTTTAACTGTAAAAAGCCTTCCAAGAAATGACTCATCAACTGGAAAGGGCTTTGGGCATGCCCCCTTTTTTCTATTCAGAAGAAGTCTCACAAACATTGCAACATCATTCAGTTTGCCAAGGATAAATGGAATGCCTTCCTATCAATGAGCATTGGAATGAAGCCTATTGACATCATAATTTCTTGGCAGTCCGTTGCTACAAGTAATAAGCTGCAGTATCAAGTTCCTAGCAAGACTTCAGTTTTTTTCTTTACACATGCTTCTCCAGATTCTCTAGAGATAAGCTAATGAGAGGTGCAATAGCCCCAAGGTTTTTTAATTCCTAAAAAAGGCATGCTGGCTAGTATTTAGGGGACTAGAGTAACTCTTGAGCCTTAATTTCACACAACCCTGTCACCTGGAGTACTGTGTCTAGTTTAAGGTCCCACATTTCAAAAAGAATATGGATAGTTTGGAAAGAGTCCATCAGAGAGTGACAACAATGATTAGAGACCTGGGAAGCAAGGCTTATGAGGAAAGGCTGAAAGAATTAGGATTATTTTATCTGGAGAAGAGAAGGCTGAAGGTGGGATGTGATAAGTCTTCAAATATCTGAAGGGTGATTGTAAAGAGGCTGGAGGAATGCTTTTCTCTGCAGCTGTAATGGATAGGATTAGGAGCAATGGCCTTGAGCTGCAGCAGGAGAAATTTAGATTGGTGATTTGTAGGAACTTTCTGACTCTAATGCACTGGAAGAAGCTACACAAGGAAAGTGTGGATCTTCATCTTTGGAAGTTTTCAAGAGCAAGTTAGGCAGACACTTGGCTGGGATGGTTTAGTCAGGGCTGATCCTGCCTTGAGCAGGGGTTGGACTAGATGACCTGTGAAATCCCTTCCAGCCCTACTTTCCTAGGATTCCTTGGAAGGCAATTTAGCAAAGTTTTGAAAAGTGACAAGACCTCAATAAAGGCCTTAATAGTAGGAGAGAATATGGGAAATTTTAACACGGTTATAAGAGGGAAATTAATGGGGCGGTCAGCTAGTCATCTAAAATATTTCTGTATACTAATGAAAAAACAATGGCAAATAAGCAGAAAGAACTGCAGGTCCTAGTGTGTACATATAATAATGATTCAGTTGGGATAGTTCATATGATTGGAATATTGATATGGTTAGATACAGGTTGTCAAGGAATGCCAAGCAAAGAAAGAATGGGGGAGATGTTGCCTCATATACTGAAGATGTATATACTTCTTTTGAGGTCTAGAATGAAGTGGGGAGGTAAACCCAAGTAGTTTCTGGATTAAGGTAAAAGGAGAAAACAGCAAGAGTAATTCAGGATGGGTAGCTACTATCGAACGCCAAAAGAGGAGGATGAAGGAGGAGAAAATCTTTTAAAATAACCACCAAAGCTTCCAAATCACAAAGCCTGGCAGTTATGGGGGACTTTAAATCCTGTGTGAGAGGCAAGGATTTCTTAGGGTGGTATCTTTTATTGGACCAATTGTAGAGTTGGAGTAGGATTAGACAAGCTTTTGAATGCAAGACATTCTTCTTCTGGTCTCCATGACATCAACTGAGAGATCAATGGAGCAATGCACAGAACATTCAGAACATTCTTATTACACTGGGAACAGGTTTTTGGTACATAGAGGGTACTTCTACATGGGCCTGTACAGCGCCGTTGTTACTGTGCCATTGTTTAGTACTTCCTTTTGGAAGTACTAAACAATGGTGCAGTAACAGCCCATACTGTGCTGTGCTGGTCGCACAGTTATTTTTAGCCACTACATCGCTGTAGCAACACACTGTACCAAGGGAGCGTGTTGCTATGGTGACAT